TGATCTGCTTTCCACAAGAGTTACAAAGATGCGTCAACAAAGAAACTTTTTTTGATCAAAATGCATCAAAAACGTAATATTTGTAACACTATGCGTAGACACTAAGTGCCCGTCGCTACGCTCCAGACAATAACGCTTTCATATTGCTGACCACTTTGGAAAATTCATTATGATATTTTTAATTTCAGTAAATACTTCGTCAAAATAATTGATAGCATCTTTATGATCAAGTTTACTCGCTTCTATTTTGAGATCTTGTTAATCCGAAACATATCCTTTTTAATAAGCATAAATAAAGTTATTGACATGATAAGCAATCAATTTAACTCAGTGTTGTTAACTCAATGAATTAGTCAAATAAACAGCGTGTCCATTGGATGTTGTTTATTTGTTCATTGTCAATGAACAAATAAACAACATCCAATGGACACACTGATCATAAGGTATGGAAACGACGTCATATACGTGATGATATATACGAAACGTGTATAAGTGTTATAATTGTGGAATGTTGTACAAAATCACAAAATCACGACACAGTTACAAGATAAATAAAAATATCATAAATGTGTGAATTATTATATGTTTCTGGATATTTAAATCAATAGGTTTTATTTGTTGATGCATAATCAATTGGTGTATTTGAATCAAATATTTCCTAAATTATCTGTTTCAATAAAGGTTATGCTTCTATCAATGAGTAAGGTTTGAGTTTAGATTTCTCGTATTGTACACAACAGGAGAAAATGTAATTATAAGAAGTGATTCTGGTTTATATTTTTTGTATCGAAAATGTTTTTCTTGGATATTTACAAGATATTTAAAGAAGACGAACGCTGGTCATTAAAATGCTGTCATGTTATCACGATTCTTATTTTTTTGTTCTTTCTGTCAGTTTCATTTTACATCTTAATCGACAGAACAATGAACGAAATTCCAATTTTAAAAAAATCATATGAATATAACATATCATATATACCAATGCCGGGTGAGATTTAATAATTTATACAGAATAATAAATTTATTGATAATCTTTATTAATATATTTATGTTAAGAGTTAAAATCATTTCTGATTTAAGTGGGTCTAAAATTATTAGTTGTAGTTATGGTCATCGTGAAGTAAAAGATTGTTTAGACCAAATAAATATAGTTAAAACTTTTGAATATTATCCCGGTGGTACTCAAGAATCAGAACTTTTACTTCAAGGAAATATGATAGATAATTATCAGATATCTATATCATTTAATTACAGTAGTGGTAAATCTGCCACTATCTATATAAATAATATAAATACAGAATATGATGATTATAATTACCGATTAGGTAAAATAGATGGTTTTTCATCAATTGATTTAACAGATAATGTATATAACATACTTCCGAATACTTCAGTTAAGTATAATAGTATCAATTTATTTTTTTTTTTTCTAATTCGGCTATCCTGCCCTTGTTTATTTGGGATCAAGTTATTTAAAATTGCAAGTAATTTATCTCTAACTAAAGTAGATCCAACCAAATGAAGAACTCACCCACGTGATTTTATACACCAGGTGCGACCTGCCTCAGTAGCTCTTGGCCTCCCTCAGGGT